ATGATCAGCCTACTTTACACCATCTGGTTTATGATCGAGTTTGTACATACAGAAGTGAACCAATAAATAATCTTTCATGGCTGCGATTGGCCGACAGATTAGAAAGAAATGCGAGACATTCAGTCGGCTCTTCCTGCCTAATCCATTGTAAAAAGGCCATCAGATTAATGATGGTTGTTGGTCTGATCATTTTGTGCAACTTGGTCGATATATGCAGAGGGTATAATTTTGCATACTATTAGCATAGTACAGTGTCTGTCTGGATCTATGTCGTGTATGTAACAGTCAATCTGTCAAATTAGTCATTCGATCTTGTCATGTGGTAAAATGACTGACCCCTTGTCATGAGGTGACATGACTGACCCCTTGTCATGTGGTGACATGACTGGCCCCTTGTCATGTGGTGTAATGACTGACCCCTTGTCATGTGGTAAAATGACTGACCCCTTGTCATGTGGTGACATGACTGACCCCTTGTCATGTGGTGTAATGACTGACCCTTTGTCATGTGGTGTAATGACTGACCCCTTGTCATGTGGTGTAATGACTGACCCCTTGTCATGTGGTGTAATGACTGACCCCTTGTCATGTGGTAAAATGACTGACCCCTTGTCATGTGGTGACATGACTGACCCCTTGTCATGTGGTGTAATGACTGACCCCTTGTCATGTGGTGTAATGACTGACCCCTTGTCATGTGGTAAAATGACCGACCCCTTGTCATGTGGTGACATGACTGACCCCTTGTCATGTGGTGTAATGACTGACCCCTTGTCATGTGGTGTAATGACTGACCCCTTGTCATGTGGTGACATGACTGACCCCTTGTCATGTGGTGACATGACTGACCCCTTGTCATGTGGTGACATGACTGACCCCTTGTCATGTGGTGTAATAACTGGCCCCTTGTTATGTGGTAAAATGACTGACCCCTTGTCATGTGGTGTAATGACTAGCCCCTTGTCATGTGATGTAATGACTGATCCCTTGTTATGTGGTAAAATGACTGACCCCTTGTCATGTGGTGTAATAACTGGCCCCTTGTCATGTGGTAAAATGACTGACCCCTTGTCATGTGGTGTAATGACTGGCCCCTTGTCATGTGATGTAATTCCTGATCCCTTGTCATGTGATGTAATGACTGATCCCTTGTTATGTGGTAAAATGACTGACCCCTTGTCATGTGGTGTAATGACTGGCCCCTTGTCATGTGATGTAATTTCTGATCCCTTGTCATGTGATGTAATGACTGACCCCTCATCATTTGGTAAAATGATTGACCCCTCGTCATGTGGTAAAATGACTGACCCCTTGTCATGTGGTAAAATGACCGACCCTTTGTCATGTGGTAAAATGACCGACCCCTTGTCATGTGGTAAAATGACTGACCCCTTGTCATGTGGTGTAATGACTGACCCCTCGTCATGTGGTGTAATGACTGATCCCTTGTCATGTGGTAAAATGACGATGAAACAGGTTGTAGATGGTTACCACCTTGGTAAAACCCATAACATTATAAACTGGGCAAATTTGGGTTTCAAATAACCATTCAAGGATCCTGGTACAACTAAGGGATCTAACTCTGCACAGCGTATTGCTTTACCTTACATCACTGGGAGACCCAGACTTGTAGAAACATTCAAGTTTGTCAGTACTGAGTTTCTCTAGACGTCTTGTTACTGAAAGACCGCCTGTTGCATTGCCAGGCTCTGTGTGCTTCCACAGGAGTGGGGTCAGACAACTCCAATCAATATAGGGCACCATACACCTGCTGTAAATCATGGGCCAGCAGTGCGCACAATTTACATACATTGTGCTGCATTACTCAGACAGGTGAATATAGAAGCAGGGACAGAGAAGTAGGCTGAATGCATGTCATTACAGTCAGATCCTGTTGAAACAATCATCCATTTCTCACAAAATGGTCATGAATTTCTAGACAACAGAAACAAGACTATTACTCCAAATGAAATTACTGTCATCAGCCTTTGTTTTGTTGTCAGTTCATGAAAGGTTTCTCACAAAGTATCTTACATTATGGATGAGATTATAATTGCCATGATTACTGACTTTACAAAACTCACTCACTCACTCACTCACTCACTCACTCACTCACTCACTCACTTTATTGGCTTATAATCAGAACAAGTCATAGTTCATTAGGCCTGCACATCAATTACTAAAATAAGCTGTTTGAAGAACCATGTTCTTATCAAGATTACTGACTGACGCCACGTTGATAGGTCAACTGGTACTTGACCATGCTGGTTCTGGTTCACTGAGATGACTGTCTAAAATAAGATGGACCCATATTCTCTGCAATTAACTTTCCATTTCAAGATGTTCAGATCTAGAAATTTAATAAAGCCATTGGACTTATTCAAATTTTCACTCCTACCCATAATCCTATCTAAATTTGGGTTTCAAGATTAGCACAGTCTAGATTAACACAAGTAAGATGAATGGAGACAATGTTTACAAGACAATAGCAGTTAGACAAGGTTTTGTCAGCATACATCATCATTGATCAGAATCATGTATCCCAAGAAAAGCATTTAGTTTCCATCAAATTTTATTCAAATCATTGTTGTGTTTCACCAGGACCAATCAAACTACTGGTCATCTGCCTCAGTAGTCTCAAGAGGTGTACAGGTACATATCAGGGGTAGGTGTAGGAGTTCAGTTCAAATATGGGAGCAGAGAGCTCCTTTACGTTTCACTCTGTTATAAGTGTTTACCCGGTACCTTCGGGGAGTATGTCATCTGAAGGCATCAAGACAGATTGTTAAAAGCGGTGTAAAACCATACTCACTCACTCATGAGTGAGTGAATGCTTGAATGATGATAAACATGATAAAACGCCAGTCAGAAATATTTCAGCCATATCATTTCAATCTATACATAGTCTGGGCAAGCCAAACAAGTGGTTGATAAAATGAACAACAAGAGAGGCTGTCGGGTTACCAGCTGCTGTCGGCGCATACATCAGCCATTTACTCTTTGTAGCCATAATGTTTTAGCCAGTTCTTAGAACAAGCATGGGGTTCTGGGGTCCTATTCTGACCCGGAATCATCACACTGTCGAAGAATAAATAAATGTAATCACCTATTGTTCCCACCTGAGGATTTGAATCCAGATCTCTGAACTGACAAGCCAATGCTTTAATCACTAGGCCACCTTACAACTTCTGCAATGGAGGGATTTTGGTTTTAGGCCGCTTAACAATATTCAAGTGGGACCCCATTAATTAGTTTCACAAACAGTGAACCCAGGTCTTCAGCATGACAAGCAAATGCTTTACGTTCTAGGTTACCCCGCCGCCCCTTGGTCCTGTGAGACTATCTTACATCCTGAGTATTACTCCAGTTTAGATGTTCAAATATTGTTGCACATGATGGTACAGTTGTAGTTCTTATCGCCCTTAGTTAAAAAGATTCATCAGGAATGAGAGTGAGTGCAAATGTTTAAATCCATCAATATTCCAGCCTTTAAATAACCCGGCCTGGCCAACCAGTAACTGAAAGCATGAACAACAAACCACGCGATCAGGGCACGATGACCCACCATCAGCCAAATCAAAGAGCCTCACAACCAATCTATTTGTGACAAGCATAGGTTTCACAAGCACAGGTTCAGGGACCATTTCTACTCTGGAATTCCAACAGGGTTCATTAGCAACGTAGACAAAAATATCACAATACATAACTACAGTAGCCTCATTCAGACAATCATTTGACAGTGTCTTTTACAATGCCATGATTAAATCATTACCATGTATATTAGAATCAGTTATTGATGACTCCCAAGCCCATTTCCAACAGCTGCTCGGAACACGTAACAAGAGCAGACGTCAATTTACACATGGATAAAGGTATGTTGTACTGACTACTAAATCACACCTACAAGTCAGTAATGTAGTTTTGATGTGCGTTCACCATCTTGACAATGTGGGGAACAGTTTCTGAGAGTGCAGGCGATGTAGAGGGTTTGCCAACATAAAGGCAGGTTATTCTGGGATGAAAACATTCATGGAGAAAGAGTAGCAGTAACGTAAAGACTGGACTGGTAATTCTGACTGATATATTCATAGTTTCAGAAACCAATGTGTTCTGATAGTCAAATAGCCATACAGGCCTCCATTTAAAGTATGTATCAACATCTAGGTTTATGTGTGGATTTCTGTCCATGAATATTATATTTCCCTGAAGGGTCTCTTTAGAATTCCTTAACAGTTCTGTGCTTCCTGAATATTGGGATAAGTATCTAAAGATGGTGAAGCAATGCGACATTACAAAATCACAAGCAGAGTACTCATGCACACACACATGCATGCACACACGCATGCATGCATGCACACACATTTATTATTTCTTGTTTTAATAATAACCTTGACCATAAAATTTCAAAACATATAATATAGTATGTTTAAACACATCAAGGGGCTTATTTCTAATTATTACTTTAACACTTTTTCACCAAAAACTATATTTTAACGTTCATTTCATTTAATTTCTAATTATGCCTGGCAACGTACCAATCATGAAATTTGCTGTATGCATCTTGGGATATTGAATACTTATAAAACCAGATAATTAGTCTGGCCAAATCTTCATTCATAAATTTTCAACTTAGACAGAAGTGTTTCATAAGATTTAATATTCTCTTCCATCTAACTGTTCACACCTATGCTTGCTGGCATGTTACAACATGATCACAATTGGCCCATGCACAGTGTTCTGGATAAAAGCCACAGACAGAAAATCAGTATCGGTTGTTGATACATTGCCAGCTATTATGTAAGAAAAGAGTAATTTAACCCTTCTGAACTGCCCACTCGGTGGCTCGATCCCCCTTATATAACTCATTTCCACACCTGTACTACATATAATCTATAAAGTTGTGAGGAGAATACTACAGGTGTTTACAGAGTTGCATGCACAGCAAAAATAAACAATTCATGGAAATTGTTCCGTATTATTATTCCTGAAACAATGTTTACCTTTCTTGTCCAATTGTGCTGACTGTCTATATGGTGCTAATATCTCCTCCACATCCGCACTAGAACTCTGTTTCGACATCTTCCTCTGAACGATCACCAAACAATGTTGTTGGCTGACCAAAGGCTACTGTAAACCCTTCTCAAGAATTAGGTCCACACTAACCTTGGACGACCATTAGCATCGATCCGCAAACCAAAATCCGTAAGGCTTAACTCCTTAGCATACAATTATAGCCCAGTCGTCACTAACAGTCACAACTGCAAACAGATCCTTACACTGTTCCCAGGAAATCCTGTATCAAGAATGATAAAACCACACAATCAGCAGTCCAGTCAATCCGTAGACTTAATGCATCATTGGTCACATCTACTGTCAGAACAGTTTTTTCACAGTTTACAGTTGAAGATATCCACTCGGCCAGAAATAATTACTTGGTATTTTTGACAGCCTTCATATGCCTTAGATTGAGAACTCAAGAAGTGCTGAGTTGAACAATGGCTGCTACCCTTTGGGAACAAGTCTGAACAATCGTAATGAATGAGATCAGGATTGCTATACCCTTGTGCGTTGTTGACCAGTATTATTCGTCTTTCATGCTCACAGCCCGACAAATCAGGTATGACGCTGTTCCCTAGATCAAATTCCTGTATCGTATAATTTCGGGACAGATTAGAACCTGGATAGTTCGTAAACATATAAAGGGGTAAGATATATGAGATATCACGCATGTCGTGTTGAGGACATACATGTAGTGACACTCGTTGTTGACAGAGAGAAGTATTTTATCGGTAATAAGTCATTATGATTTATATCACCCGGCCTGGAACACTGACAGAAGAAACACACTTTTACACCTATCAATGATTGATGATATACTTTACAAGGAATCTACAGCAGTTTAATGGTTAAAGTATTCAGTCATAATCCACATATCACCTACTCCTTGACTCATCAATCAGCTGATAACATTGTCTCATGAAACATTAACCATCTTAACTTAGTAAATTAATTAATGGTCAAGTCACTTTTCTTAAACGCATGCTTATAATGCTTGAAATTGAACTGCCGTTGGCAGTGATTTCTTAGCATTGTTAAAAGTGTTTTGTTGCTTTATCATGCATGTTTATTTACACCAAACTGGATAAATCACCAAGTTACCATAGTAACACAGAAGCAAAAAGTCACTAAACTGTCATATTTATATTTTGCCTGAAACCACTCCCATCATGATACAAGTTTGCCAAAGAGGAGATTAATAACATCCAAATTGCTTTGTGCTAGCTGCACTCTACCTGTCCATGTCACTGATAAGAAGAAATTCGTCTGTAGTACTACTCAACATATCAGGAACATGATAAATGATCTCCATCCTCATCAAATGCACATTTACAGCCACTAGAACAACAAGCAGCAAATCAACGATAACAAGCCAGAATGGAAGATTACTTGCTTGTATTTAGGACTGAGGTTACCATGGATACAGGATATTATAATAATAGTTCAAGTTCAAAGAATCACATTGTCACATTTACATTTCATTTTTGTAATAATTTGGAATCAATTACTGTAAATATATATTAAAAAGGCAAAGGCATAAATTCTGTAAAACTGATGAATACATTTCATCTTGATGGAAAACACAACAAAACAAATTTTAAGAAAACTACATGTTTGTATATAATACCGATACTTATCTTCAAAATTGTTGTATACCCAGGAAATCACACTTTCTACTCATAATCAGTTCCATGAACCTGTTTTCCATTAAGAGGCGAGATACATTTCCTCCAATACCAAATAATCTAGATCTGATGTTCCAGTTTACTCATTTACACTTCCTCCTGTTGACATACAAACCACCACACAGGATATCCATCCTTACAGCTGAAACACACAACAAGCCATGTACGACAGGAGCGGTCTATACAATGCTAACAGGGAGATGCTCCACACGAACCCGACGCCACTCAAGCAAGAAACGCAACAGAGAACAGACCTGCAGCAAAGGAGATGCTCATTTGTATCAACTGTCTTCATCGGTGTGTGATAAGTGATCACAACTATGAAAAAACTCTATACAGTGCAACCAACTCACCGTGGTATAAAAATCTGGCTAAGTATAACCTGGAACCATCTGGGCAATTCATTAATTACCGTATTCAACAACCATAGGGCCTTTATTCTACAATATATATCTCCCCTTCTGTATACTATACCACAGGGGCAGTGGGGTAGCTTAGTGGTTAAAACATTCACTTGTCTCGCCAAAGGCCCAGGTGCAATCTACCATATGGGTACAATGTATAAACAAAAGCACCCAAACAGTACTATTCCATGGTCGTTTGTTTGTTTGTTGTTTAACAGCGCACTCGGCAATATTCCAGCTATATGATGGCAGTCTGTGAATAATTGAGTCTGGACCAGACAATCCAGTGATTGACATCATGAGCATTGATCTATACAATTGGTATATGATGACATGCATCACCCAAGTCAACAAGCCTGACCTCCTCATCCAGGTTAGTTGCCTTAGAAGACAAGCTGAAGACCTATTCTACCCCAGATCTTTACAGGGTGGTACTAGTACATACAGTATTTCCTTTAGTCAGAGCCAGACTCAAAAAGGTAGACTACACTTAGTTTCTGAAAATATATACTTTTGACAGAAACAAGCAACTACATTCAAACTGAAAAGATCCTTATTGTGAACCTGTGGAACATCTAGACTTACTTCATTTAGGGCCAGGGCGGTCGGATAGCCTAGTGGTTCGCTCGTCACGCCGAAGACCCGGGGTCAATTCCCGACATGGGTACAATGTGTGAAGCCCATTTCTGGTGTCCCCTGCCGCAATATTGCTGGAATATTGCTAAAAGCGGCGTAAAACCATACTCACTCACTCATTTAGGGCCACAGGATTACAGGAAGTGCTGGGCAGAAGGGAAAATAAAATGGTTCAAGGACTGTTAGACAGATTAATGATTTCTCCCCATTACATTTGAATACAGTTAAGTTTACCAACCTAAGCCCTCCCTTCTCCTTACTTCCAGTATGTCTGTGGGTGGGCCTCTCAGAAAAGCCAACCTCCATAGTGCCAGGTCTAGTAGTAAACTGTAGGTTATTACGGCCAGCGCCCTGTTCCAATAGTGACTCCAATACTTTTATATACACTTACAATAGTCTTACTGCTACTGGGGGGCACGGGTGGCCCAGTTGTCTAAGGCGCCGCGATTCGCTGTGCAGAGTTGCGTCCCTTGGGCACGCCAGAAACCTATGATTGTGGGTTCGAATCCCGGTTCGCTCTGATTATGTTTCTAGGTTTGTCAGCACCATACCCGTGCTCGTGGGTTTCACTGAAGTGATAAACGTCTGAGACCTGCATCACTTGGGGCTTTCCTCCCACATTAAGCTGACACGCCGTGATATAACTGGAATACTGTTAAAAGTGGTGTTAAACCCAACTCACTCATTCACTTACCGCTACTGGGTAATTAACATAATTAACGACGATGAATGGTGTCCTCTGCTGTTTCACAAAACAACCATAATTTCCTGACTGTTTCAACTCCTATACTTTAACATAGTCTGCAACACCGTTACTATCGTTTTGTGAAATGGGCACCTGGGCTCTTAGCAGAGGAACTACGGAACATGGAATATGGTAAATGTGAGGTACAGTTCAACCTACTGCATGCGCGTGAAGTTATCAGTGGAGAGAGTGCAGCTGCTTCTGCAGGTATGTGAACTATGTCATTACAGGGGCATCATCAGATTCTCTGCATACCTTTGCCCTCCACCATTTACATCACAATGTTTAATCCATCACGAACACAATGCAAATTTAACCTACACGTGAATCAGGTTACAAATTAATGCATTTTCTTTTTGCTGATGTGGCATAATCAATGCAACATAATGAATATATTAATAAATCTTTAACACAGCAGTAAATCTGGGTACACCAACACAATGTGTGTGTACCAGGTGTAGAAACAGGAGCACATAATCTCCCGTCATAAATGTGGGTACGCCCAAAGCCGAAGTCGAAGACATATTTAACAACTCTTGGGGTCATCCAATAGTGAAGAAGGTTTTCTGACCCACCTCATCTGGGTTCAAATCCCACAAAAGTACAACACAGTAAACTATGGTTATAACAAACTAAGGTGGCCCACAAATTTTAGTTCATTATAGCTGTAGTTCATCATAAGCATATATATACAACATCTATACAGACCGGGACCTAAAATTAAGTTCGTAATATTCGTCAGTTTGTTATAAGCGTGTTCATTATAAACTTATTTTACTGTATGTTAATGAGAGGAGAGGTTCTATGACATGGCTGTACACAAGTCAGGTAAACCAGTGGTCGATGATGTGAGCACCACACAGCACTGTGGGTGGGTATCACATGATCAGCCAGGTCTATTAATCAGCACTGCCTATGGCTCCATTGTCTGTTATTTAATGCTACAGTCATCAGTATTCCAGGTATATGGGTCAACCTTGTCAGTTATCGAGTCTGGACCAGGTAAACCAGTGATTGATATAATGAGCAACGTACTATGAGCATGGCATCAGTGTATGATGACACTGTCACACACAGTCAAGGGAAAGAGAGACTGCATCGCCTGTAGCATGTTAGAAGTAATCATACTCTTTTATCAAGACCAACATCTAGTTTCTGAAATGAAAATATATTACAGAAAAATCAGTTGTTACATTATCTTAATAAAATATAGAAGGAGGCTCTCTTCTAAACTGCAGCAATCTAGACTTGCCAACATTTATAGACTTGCATGGGTTATATTGGATATATTTTGTTTCATGGTCTGTATAACAGATTATCCTTTTACTGTCACCAGTCAAAACAGAAAGGGAGTTAATTGCTTTCACAAACTACACTCATCTGTCCATTTATTGTACTCGTCGGAGCTTTACAGATGATCATCAGAGCTACAGAAAAGCTGCGTATTTGCGTAAAATACTCCCCAAAAATATTCAAAACCCAATTACTTTCAATTATCTTGCCTACAAAAACAAATGAAAAACTCCAATGTATAGAAGAGCACGCGTAAATACCCAATGAAGCTTTTGTATCATGCGTACAACGGAGCAAATTTCCGAAACACAATTATCATGATTATGAGCTAATTTACTTTCTGAGTCAAGCCTATATATTTAGAACAGATATATACATCCAAAACATTATTTTATTTTGTTTTAAATCTTAAAATGTTCACTAATTTGGGGAAAAACCCAATAGAGTGATAAATGGATGAGTGAAATAATATTGGTTACCCAATGAAAAATGTTATAACCCAATTAAAATAAAAACCCTAGAGTAAAAACTCAATTGCTCAAAAAGTTATCTGGAGCTCTGGATCATCCTTGTTGCTTCTTACGACAATCATGAAGTAATGGATCACTTGGTTGCTGTGAAATCACAACATGAGTTCTCATTACAACAGATATGGTATGGCTATCAGGTGACTGTCGGACATCTTATCTGAACACGAACAGTGACAGTTGTAGATGCTGTAGATGTTGACACCTTCATGACAGCCGATGACAGCTCATCCACATGATGACATATTCATCACAGTAGAAAGAGGTATCTATTGATCAGTAGAATAGTAAATGAGTGAGTGAGTGAGTGAGTGAGTGGGTGGGTGGGTGGGTGAGTGGGTGGGTGGGTGAGCGAATGAACATAACATCTTCATGATAAAGTACATACAATTTGTTTCGCTACCTCTTAAATTAATTGTAATATATTTAAAAATCCAAAAATAATATCCCAATATTCATAATATTTACAATCAAAATATACATATATGTCTTTTTAGGTACTTTATTTCCCAATATTCACTCAAGTCTGCCTTCAATTTCTTCACAGTTCTCCATAAGTATAAGCAGTTGCATACAAACCGTATCTGGACTGTTGATTGTCAAATTGACATTACCCAGAGTTCACTGGGGCCGATCAAATCAGGTGATCGTCATCAAATACTGAAATGTTAGCTCATCAAATATCTCACAAAGAAATCTGTCTCATGATAAAGTGTCTGTTTAATCCAGATGTACACAACCTGCAAATTACATTCAGATGTTCAATTGGAAGTAAATCAGGTTATTTGTATCATGTAAAATTACATTGAAGAGAGGCCCCTGAGGATTCTGCTATTCAATACATATTCTTCCTTCCTAACACAAAAAAGATTTTTTGTATCATTTTGCTTCCAAGACAACATTTTTTAAAATATGATATTCAAATATCATAGCGTAGTCATGTAAAATAAATATTTTTGTTTGTTTATTTAGTGCATTTTACATGTGTTTTAGGAATAATATAATTGTGAAAATGTCATACTTATTCATATGGACCCTCCAAATTGTGCAAATATATTCTACCAAGATCACAGTCCAATGATAGAATGTGTCAACAAAAAGTCAGCAACTGAGTGACCCTTACTGGTGAAAGGCAAACAAACATAATGCTGTGTAAATAACAGTCATATTAACTGAGGTAGTGTGAGGCTAGGTTAGGGCACCCTGGTGTCAAAAGCCAGGATTGGCTGAATGTACAGCTGGTATGAGTGTAGGAGCCTATTGTGAGTGTGAGCTGACTTTGGCTTGTTTGAGATGAGCAATCAAGGCCCATAACTCCTGCCTACAAGCAGGCTCTCCACGGCAGTGAAGTTGGTAGTGGCTCACTTATGCCCAACCACCTTGGCTCCATTCCCCCATGTTCCCCATACAGGTCAAATTGTCAAGCTCACTTTTGGGGTCCCCCTCTAACTTTAATATTTTTTAGGTGAGGTGAAATGGGGTTTGACGTCGCGTCCAAGATTATTGCACTTATATAGTGACGCGCATGCACGTGTGTGTGTGTGTGTGTGGCTGCTTGTATTTGTCTGGACTGATGCTGATTTATAGTGCTAGCTCACTGAGATAC